CAACCACTTTGAGCAACTATTTCACAAGATCTATAAAGCAATATATACACTGTAACTTAGCAGTTCCAGTCTTCTGTATAGGCCCAAAAGAAATAAGTGTTTCTCTCCATCAAAAAATATGTAAACAAATGATTTTTAGCTGCATTTTTTTATACTGTTAATGACCCAAATGTCCATCAATACAAGTAAGGAAAAATAAAATTGGATATATTTCTATAATGGAAGATTACTTAACAATAAAACTGAACAAACAGCAGATGATTCTCATAAATATGAGGTTGAGCAAAAGAGGCCAGATAAAAATATACATAATGTAAGTTTCCATTTATATTAACTTCCAAGCTAGTTAAAACTAATCGATTGTACTAGTGATAAGAATAGTGGCTCCCTTTGTTGGGAGTGGGGGCAAATTTGTAATGACTGGCGGGAAACAGAGGGAGCATCCCAGAGTGCTGGAAATATGCTATATCTTACCTGTGTGATCATTACATACACACACACATATATAGACACACATGTTAAAAGCAATCAAACTTTAGAATATGGTCTGTGTAGTTTACATTGTTATGTTTCAATTAGGGGAAAAAAAGGAAAATACACACAAAAGTAAGTGGCAGAGCTGAGTTTTGTCCACGCTGCTTTTACTACATAGCCAGTTCTAACTCTGGTTCTTGCCTCTGTAGTTCAGAATTCATTATGGAGTGAAACCTGAGCATGAGTAATTCGCTGGAAACTAACCTAACTAACCTAACAAAATATACTAAAGCATAAATATTATTAAATAAATCCATTCACCTCCATGGATATCTTATAGGTGCAGTAAAGAATTAACTCAGTGGGCTCAGAGTACTCAAACCCTACACTTTCCAAAGTAATGGCCACTGACCAGCTCCTGAGAGAGAACCTCTGAGCCCTTATAATATCCTTCTTGATAAGAGCATCTTTGCTCTATGCCAGATAGTTTATGCTAACAATGTGATTTATGATAAACAACTCTTTTTGTTTGCCAGGGGCCCTGGGCTGCACTACATCAACTTGACCTCTGCAGGGACTTGAGACTGAGTAGCTAAGGCCAGTCACACAGGTGCTCCATGTCTATGTGACTCACCCTCACTAAAAACCCTGGACACTGAGACTCAGGTAAGCTTCCCAGGCTCACTTCACATGTTGTTACAAATTGTTGCTGGAAGAATTAAGTGCTGTCTGTGTGATTCCATTGGAAGCTCACATCTAGTTTCTCCTGGACTTCACTCTATGTGACTTTTCTCTTTGCTGATTTTAATTTGTACCTTTTCACTGCAATAAACCATAACCATGAGCATAAGAGTTTTTCTTAGTTCTGTAAGTCCTAGCAAATCATCAAATCTGACGATGGGTTTGGGGAACTCTGACAAACTATGGCTTTAGTATAAGTTGGTCAAAACCTAACAGCCTTGGGGTTGCCTCCATGATGTCTCTCCTTATCAACTCCAAAGGCATGTTGTCTCTTTTCTTTAATGGTCTTTATCATACCTTACCATAGTTTTACTCCTATTCATAGTTTATATTATGTAATAAATTATAAACATGTTAAGGGGTAGCAACTATGTCTCTTTAATGCTGGTATCCCCACAAGTAACATGAACAAGATTGGCATATTGTAGGCACCTAATAAATATCTGATGTTTGACCTATAAATGCAGCTTCTAGAAATTTTTCCTTAAGAAACAGATATAAAAGTAGATAAAATTCTATTACAAAGATCTCCATCACAGAGTAGTTTATGATAATTCTAAATATCTAAGGGTAGGCAATAGGTTAAATAAAGTACAGTCAGCTATATGTTATTAATATGTATGTGGTATTTAATAATGACGACACCGATCCATATTAATGTTGAGGAAAAACATTTTTAATGAATTACTCACACAATTAGATTGAAAAAATGATTGGAGGTTGTATACTGTCATAATAAAGAACATAGAATCTGTCATCCAAAATTCAGTTTGTGAATCTTATCTTTGGCTGTTACTAATTGTGTTACACATATATGTGTGTTACATATATGTATATATTTACATACCACATTTTCTTCATCCATTCATCCATCAGTGAATACTTAGGTTGCTTCCATGTCTTGGCTATTATAATTAATGCTGCATGAACATGGGGGTACATATATCTTTTTGTGTATATATATATATACCAAAATATATATAACTTTTTATACACACACACACACACACACACACACACACACACACACACACCATGGAATATTATTCAGCCATAAAAAAGAAGGAAAACTTGCCATTGGTGACAACATGGATGGACCTTGAGGGCATTATGCTAAGTGAAATAAGTCAGAGAAAGACAAACACTATATCATCTCACTTACATGTAGAATCTTAAAAAACAAACAAACTCATAGGTAACAGAGAACAGACTGGTGGTTGCCAGAGGTCGGGGGGGGGAAGGGTAGACAAAATGGGTGAAGGTAGTCAAAAGGTACAAACTTCTAGTTATAAAATAAATAAGTCATGGGGATATAATGTACAGCATGGTAATTATAGTTAATAATATTGTATTGTATATTTGAGAGTTGCTAAGAGAATATCTTACAAGTTCTCATCACAAGGAAAAAAATTTGTAACTATGTGTGGTGATGGATATTAACTAGATTTATTATGGTGGTCATTTCAAAATAAATGTAAATATCGAATTATTATGTTGTTCACCTGAAACTAATTATATCTCAAAAAAAAAGAAACACACACACACCCAGAGAGAAAAAGTTTAGAAGAATGTACATTAAATGATTATTATGAGAGTATGGGTAATTATTAACTTTCTCCTGTATAAGTTCCTTAAAAACTGAGTATTTTGCAACAAACCTGCATTAATTTCATCATCAGAAACATATAAGTAAGTTATTTCCACTTAACAGATTTAACAGAGTTGGAGGCAAGTTTTCCTTCTGTTTAAGGACATTGTAAGCAAAAAGATCTTCAAAATGAGTAGGAACATCAAGGAAATCTGAGAGTGAAATAAATTACTCCTACAAACTTGTGAACATCCTTTTGCTGTATCTCACTAATGCAGTAGGGCACACTCACTATTCACATACCTGAAGTAATAATATTCAGGAAGGTGGCATTTTCAGACTCAATAAGAAAATGCATGTAAAGGAGGCAGAAATGTGTGTGTACAGAGTACGTGCTTATTATACGTGGCTTCATTCCTTTACTTTATTATTCAATAACTAATACCATTTTAGATATATTCTTGCAAGATTGCTTACAAATGGAATCTTAGTAAAATCAATTCATATACAATATTAACAATTTGAAGTGTTCTTTTTCCTATGTAAAAATATTGTATAACATTATATGTTAATCATTTTTCCTTTTGACTAACTCCATAGTTTCTCTTTTCTGCATGGTATTACATCACATTTATGTAATGTGATTAACTTAATCTTAAAGCTTATATATACTTTATGTAACCCCATGAAGTTACAGACATTCCACAAACAAAACAAAACATATTAGAAATTATATAGAATAATTTTGAACACAATTTCAATAGATCTGTGGTCCCCTGTGAACATCATTTCAATAGATCTGTGGTCCCCTGTGAACACCAAAATAGAGTCAAATTGCCTCAGGTTAAGAATTTCTATTCTAGGACATCTGCACATCTGGCTTTTAAAAATTCCTTTTAAGTGCTTATCAAAATTAACTGTATACTTTCATTGCTCTTAATTTACAGAAAATTTATTAGACTGTCCACATAATAACAGCTTTTTTTTTTCCCTTGAGGACTTATTAAGTGCAAGGCCCATATTAAGTGCTCTAGGGCTTTGCCCAGATTAATGTATCAACTGCTTAAAAAAACCCTAAGGCACTGATGTAATTATCTACATTTTACAACAAGAAATTGTAAAAGACAAAGATTAATAACTATTGACCTTGAAATGTGGTTAGTGTGAACAAGGAACTGAATTTTTAATTTAATTTTAATTAAAACACAAAAGTGATATAAAATGTTTTTCAATTAAACATAATTTCATTGTTTTGGTGCGATTATATTTCACCTCAACCATTGAAAATTTAGCATCCAAAGTGAGAAGTGCTATAACAGTAAAATATGCACCAGATTTTGAAAACTTACTATGAAGATATGAATGTAAAATACCTCAGTTTTTTTATATTGCATGTTGAAATAATATTTTAGATATATTAGTTTAAATAAGATGCCTTACCAGAATTAATTTCAACTGTTTCTTTTTACTTTTCAATAGAAATTTTAAAACCACATGAGTGGCTTGCATTCCATTTCCATTAGACAGTGCTGCTTTAGACTCAAATACTACTATACCATGCTGCCTCTCTCAGTCCACACCAATACGTGGTCTGAAACAAAGTCATACTGTCAAACCTCAAACAAGACTTGGTTGTCACCACTCAAATCTCCTCATGGATTCTCTGGAAAAGCTCCCTGCCCTTGTTCACATAGACCTCTCTTCACAAAACTCCCATCATAGTCCCACTCCTAAATGTCTCCAAAGCCAACTTTCTCACTTACTGGCTGGACTCATTCAAACCATTTCCTACCTTGCTCTGTTTGAAAATCAAGTCTGTGAATAAAATCAAAGATATCTGGTGTGTTATTCCACCTAACTACTGGTCTCTTCCTTAACAAATCACACTCTAAAAGAAGTCATTAATTTATCCTCCACGAGTTGTATTTCTGTATCATCCTTCGGGAAGAAAAGAACACATGGGGGAAGTGAATGATTTACCCAATGGGTATGTGAATATTAACTGGACAGGAATAGGGTATTTGGAAAGGCACTGGAAGACAAGAGGACCCATCTCTATGGTCTCATTATTAATTGGGAAGGGAAGGTAAATGGATAGGTCACAATTAGGTAGGGCAATTTAAGAGAAGCAAAGCAAATATTTTATGTTCTGTAAAACAAAAACGTATGACAGAACAACAAGTAAACACAAACTGACCTTGAACGGGCCATTATGTAAGTAGCAATGCTCTCCTCCACTTCAGGAGCTTCTCTTGCAGAACTACAGGACCAAGAAGAAGGGACTTGTGAGACCCTGGACTGGCTAAATAATCACACACTGTTCACCATCAGACATGGCCCATCACCCACCAAAAACACACCCAGATGGAAGTAAGAGAGAAACTAGAATCCTGCTGACTTTTGCCAGTATCAGAGAAAAAGGTCAGCATCCCCTATGCCCAGAGCTGGAATGTAAGTTCACAGCAGTTTCTAGAGGGCACAGCTCAGGGAATGCTGTGGTTCATAAACGTATAAATGGCCTCTAAAGTGCATCCAAGAGAGGTTCACCCAGGAAGGAATCCTACACCTGTGCCCTCCCCCTCATGTTTTCCCGGAAGCCTGTCTTGAAGGCAAGTGCAAGCCTAGATTCCTATCCCATGACTTAGGATGTACTTTTCTGCTTGGCACTTTCATTCTAGGGGTGAAATTCATGACTTCCCCTCTGACAACCATTTCTCTACAGCTAGATGGAAGTGGCTATAGGGTACAACGACAGAAGAGAATCCAGGGAAACACTTCCAAGCAACCATGCAACCTACAATTGGACCCTGGGTGGGCAGCACTCATGTCACCAGTGCCCGCTCTGTGTTAAGCACTAGGCTGGGTACTGCAACAAGGTGAGATATACATGGATATATATATACACATAAGGATATATGTGCATATAAGGAAAAATAATTTTTACACACTCCTACAGGTTCATTGGTCCAAACTCCTACAACCTCATTAAAAAAAAAAAAAAACGACAGTCCACTGCGTTCACACTTACAGTCGGTCACAACAGAGCTATCACAGATCACTCGGTCAGAGTGTCAGACACCCTCGTCACCAAAGACCTCGGTCACACAAGGGGCCCCGCCCCCACTGACAGTTCGCACGAGCCCAACTGGCTATCAGTCAGGGCCCTCCAGGGCCCCTTCGCACTCACACTCTTGTTTCTCTCTCGCTCACACACACGCACTCCCGCGGAGTAACACGCCACAAGGACGCCGTCACAAACAACAGCCCCCGCCACCATCGCGTCCGCGGCTCACGCACACACGGGCTCCAGGCTCCTGGCTCCACACGGCCCATCCGCACCCCAGGAGCTTGACGCCTCGCGGCGAGCGCACCCCGCCCCCCGCTCTGGGTCACCTCGACTCACCGGGCATAACCCAATAAGCACCACGACACCGGAAGGGGAACCAAAGGCCGACGTTCACTCGCGGCCCTGGGGCCTGTGGGAAACGTAGTCCATCACCGACAGTGTCCAGATGGTCTAGCGGAGCGCTGAGCGCACCGCCGCGGGGGCCGCGCCGCGGCCGCGAGCCTCCTGGGAGCGCCGGGGCTGGGCGCTCGCCCCCGGCGGAGGGTCGCCGCTCTGCTTCCTCCGGACGCCGGAGCGCCAGGTGATGGTGGTCTGGGAGCGAGGGGCGGTGGCGGAAGGAACGAGAGCCCGAGCCGAGGCAGGAATCACGGACCTGGGCCGGGGAGAGCAGAAAAGGGAACCGGAAGCCCGCCCGGGGCGGGCTGAGGAGGAAAACGGAAAAGCCTGGGTCCGGGAGGACCGGGTGAGAGCCGGAAGCCCCGGCCGGGGAGGCTTGAGGAGGGGAGGGACCGGATGAGGGAGCCGGGCTGGGAAGGGCTGAGGCGGGGGCTGGAGTTCGCGTCGGAGAAGGAGAGCTGGGAGCCGGTGCCGCTTCACTCAGGCCTGTACGTGGGGGACCCCGGGTCCGTGGTCGTGAACCACAGGTGACGGGTTTTGTTGTCGTGCCTGTTTGCGTCAGTTTTGCCCTGAGAAGGCCGGAGCCGCGGCGCGGTGTGCGTGGGCCCGCCCTGTGCGTGTGTTAGGGCGTCGCCGCCTGGAAGTCCTCTAGTGTCCTTTTCCGGTCAGTGTCACAACAGAGACAGCTATGGTTCTGGTTTGTATACGTCTCCGTAATTGAGTTTTGTCACTTCTGTAAGTCCCTGTCTCCTTTAGCTCATCCTAGTTCTGTAAGATTTATTAATGTTGTGTAGTTCATTCTTTTAATTTCTGAACAGCATTCCATTGTGCCAATATGCCACATTTTGTTTATTCATTTTTCTTTTGATGAACATTTGGTGTATTTCCAGGTTATGTATATATTATAAATAAAGCTGGCATGTTTCCATTTCTCCTGGGGAAATACCTAGAAGAAAAAATACTGGGTAATAGGTAAGTTTATATTTAACTTTCTAAGAAGCTGACAAACCTTGTAGAATGATTAGTTGTGAGTGATTTGGGTTTGAGACTATATGTGACTATGGAGTAAGTGGTTTCTGAGTTTGATTTGATATTCTTTTATGGAATTATGACATGGCCTCAATGTAGCTGTGAATGTCATGTAGGTTCTGTGGGATTGTGGTTTTGTGAAGTGGATGAGAACATAGGAAACTGAAACATTATCTGTACCAACTCTTATTTATCATTTTTGTGTGTTCATTCCATGGTGACTGTGAAAGTGGCTCACCACGTAAGTGATATTAGTGGATGACTGAGAAACTCTATGTGCCTCGTTAGGTATGTGTCATTTTGGTTCTGCTTGCAGAATTATAACTTTCTAATCAAGTCAAATAGCAGTATAAGATCCAAAGGAAGTAAAAACAGGATATCAAAGAGAGATCTGTACTTCCATGTTCACTACAGCACTCTTCACAATGGCCAAGACATGGAAACAACCTAAGTGTCCACTGACCAACGAATGGATAAAGAGAATGTGATGTGTGTATATATATATGTATGGACCTCGAGGGCATTATGCTAAGTAAAATAAGTCAGACAGAAAGACAAATACTGTATGTTCTCACTTATATGTGGAATCCAAAAGAACTGAACTCATTGAAATAGAGAGTAGAATGGTGGGAGGGGGGAGTGGGAGGAGTGGAGAGATGTTGGTCAAATGGTACAAACTTCCAGGTATAAGAGGGATAAGTTCTGGGGATCTAATGTACAACATGGTGACTATAATTAACAATACTGTGTATTATATACTTGAAAGTTGTTAAGAGAGTAGATTTTAAATGTTGTTACCACCAAAAAAAGTAATTACATGAGAGATTGGAGGTATTAATTAACCTTGTTGTGGTGATCATTTCACCATATATACATCAAATCATCACATTGTATACCTTAAACTTACATATGTTATTAAACAAAAGATTTGGAAAGTAGGAGGTAAAATTATAATTTCTAGATGATAGTATTGCATACTTGGAATACCATATGAGCTAATTTTAATATGTTGAAATGACTAGGACTCAATAGGTAGCACACAAGAAAAATACTTTCTTTTTACCTCTATGTACTACTTTTAACAGATTTGAGTGAGGTTTTTTTTTCCCCCTGTTCCTGGATGAAATCATGGGTGATTTAATAACTCTTTCAGACACTCTAAGCCAAGGAAAAGTATCTGAAATACTTCTAATCACAAGGTCATCTCATAGTAATTAAAATAATCACTTTCTAATAAAAATATTTACTGTAAAAATCAATATTTCAAACTCATTTAAAGGGAAAATTTCTGTTATCTGATTGGAGCCTGCAGTGTGGAAAAGTACATAATCAGTTTCTTCTCCATTTCCCCAACCATATTACTGAGTAGTTAATATTTAGCATAATGATTAATTAATATTTAATAGTAAATGTTCACTACTTAACCAAGTTATTATGGAAACTCTAAGGTAAGTGAGGTTTCACATGGCTTCTTTTGCCACCCTTCTCTCCCTTGTTTACTTTTCTAAAAAGCAACCCAAAAGAGCAAAGGTTCTCTCTTGCAAATCCTAAAGCTGGGGCTTAGATGAGGTGATGTTTCTTCTCTCCTGTCTGAAATAGTCTTTTTCCCCCTAGCATATATGAAACTTCTTGGAGATATGATTCCCTTTCATGAAATTGGTCCACGTTTCCTTTTATTCTTGCCAGATAAACCTGTGCCTTCTCCAAGTGCTTCTAATTTTAACTAATTTTCACTTATTAATTGAGTATTTCACTCAGCATCTCCTTTCTCGTGCCCACAAACAGAAATACATTCTCTTGAATTAAATAAGAATATATTCCTTGAATGAACCTTTCTTGTCTAGGCAGTGATTTTATGTCTGAGTAGTGAGTGCTTATAAGAGCTCATACAAGGAAAAGATTTATGTCCATAGACCTTGGTTTTCTAGTGAGTAAAGACGGAAGTAAAATCAGTCGATTACAATGTTGGTGTATGGGAAGAACGGAGGTCCCCATGTTACACTGTGTTCCCCTCCAACTCACCCTCTGGATCATGTTTCTTCATCTCTCCTTTGTAGTCATATCCCAGGATTGCTTTGTCCCATTTATATGCTTCCACTCTGTAACAGGCATCAAAGGCATGGAAGTAATCTTTGGTTGAAAGAGCAGAAAGGAAAACCTACTCTCTCTGCATACTAAAGCACTAGAGAAGAGAGAGGACAAGAGGAGCAGGTCCATGGTGACAGGAGCCTAGGAATAGAGCAGGCCTTGAACCTCAGTAAAAGAAGGAATAGTGCCCTAAGCCTTCCTTTAGACGTTAATTCAATACTGCCCATTCTTGTTTTCCTCTCCACTCCTCCCTTAGGTTTTCTACAAGGTGAAGAAATCATTCCAGTTTTTTTCCTTCCTCCAGGTACAAGGCAAGAACAAAGTGCAGAAGAAATTTTTTTAAAAAGAGGGACATAACAAATCGATGCCTGTACCTACTCCCCCTACAAACACATAGAAATGCCATCTAAACTAAAGAAAATGTCTTAAAAATTGTCAAGTTCAAAAGGAAAGAAAGAAGGAAAATTCTGCATCCAGAAACAAGGAGATGAATCAAAACAGTAAATGTAAAGGTAACCTTAAGCTGACACCTCAGAAACCCCAAAGAAATTTTTATCCCATATATAATGCTTAAGACCTCTAACTGAGGTCTGGGGTTCTAATTTCTACACAGGAACAGGGGGCAGAGAACTGGAACTAAGACCTTGCTTAGTCCTATAAACTATTTCTAGAAAAATGCTACTCACTGGCCCAAAGAGATGAGGGAGTGTGCAGTCTCTGGATTTTTTTAGGGGGATAGTGGGAGTGGGGAGCTCACCCAGGGGACTTGGAAACTCTAGGACTTGACCTGGGAATATGGGACGTAAATACTTAGTTTTATACTGCATGGGTGATACAGAACGTCTAAGCCAAGAAATTAACTTAAAAACTGGCCCAGAAAAATACATACATAAGTATAAGAAGTTGTCATTGCTAGAGTAATATCAGACAGTAGACCTCAAGACAGTGTGTATTACAAGAGATAGAGATGTAACATAATCAAAAAAGTGATGCATTAGGAATGTGTATGCATATATCTGTTCATCAGGAATATGTATACTGGTATGAACTCATTATGAGAGCATTAAATTTCATGAAGCAAAAACAACAGAACAGAGACAAATCCACAATTATAGTTGGAAATCTGTAATCACGTCTCAGTAATTGATAGAACATATAGGCAAAATTTGCAGTAGTATATAGAAGATGTTAAAAACACAATCTATCAACATGACCTAATTGATGTTTACAGAACACTACATGCCACAACTGAAAAATTACATTTAATTCCTATATGCGGACATTCACCAAGATAGACTGTGCACTAGACCATAAAATAAGTCTCCATAAATTTCAAAAAGATTTAATTACAGAATATGTTCTCAACAAGAGATGTAAGTTAGAAATCAGTAACAATAGGAAATCTACAAAATCCCTCAATACATGGAAATTAAATAACACACCTCTAAATAACCCATGGGTTAAAGAACAAATCATAAGGGAAATTAGAAAACATTTTGAACTAAATGAAAATGACAATACAACATTAACAAAATTTGATAGATGCAGCTAAAACAGTGTCTAGAGGGATGTTAAATAACTATATTAAAAAACAGGAAATTCATAGCAGCATTATTCACAATAGCCAGAAGGTAGAAGCAACCTAAATATCCATTAATGGATGAATGGATAAGCAAAATGTGGTATATACATATAATGGAATATTATTCACCCTTAAAAAGGAAGAAAATTCTGACACATGCTACAGCATGGAGAACCTTGAGGACATTATCCTAAGTGAAATAAGCCAGTCACAAAAAAACAAATACTATATGGTTCCACTTCCATGAAGTATCTAGAGTAGTCACTCATAGAAACAGAAAGTGGGATGATGGTTGCCAGGAGCTGGGGAGGAGGAAATGGAGATTTGTTGTTTAATGGATATGGTTTCAGTTTTGC